TGGCAGTCCATGGTACATTCAATACTCTTCTCCAGCACCACAGCTCAAAGGCATCAATTCTCCTTCTATCCTCCCTAGTTATTGTCCAACTCTCTGATGCAAAGAAGTGATTGCAAAGACCATGGACTGTATCAGGCGCACCTTAGTCTCCAGAGAGACACCGTTGCGCGCGTGCACACACACACACATATATGTTATTTTTGCACCAAAACCCCCCAATTTTTAAAAAATGGTCTTAGACCCTATTCTAGCAGAAATCCAATAAAAGCCCAAGCCTCCTTTGGGAAGGATAGGCTGGCAGAGCCCAAAGAGAGGTTAAGTACTCCAAACTCTCTACCATGGGCTAGCACAAGTCAGGCTCTACCCCTTCTCCTGGGACACAGAGGAGAGTTCAAAATTATACAGACAGTCTTGATGGTTTGTGACAGCCAACAGCCTCTGCTCAGTCAGAATAAGTTGACAGGATACCAGCAGATGGGTCCAGGCTGCCCCATTTCACCACACCCGGCTCCTGGTGCAATCTGGTGCTTCTAGCACTGATGGGCCCACGAATGGAGGAACCAATGATTCTGGCACCTGCCTAGCATTAGCACATTCAGAGGAAGCCTTATTCTTCCCATTCAAAGAGATGTAAAATGAAGCCTAGGGCAAATAAGCCATGCTGGTCTCTAGAAAGGCAATGGAGGGGATCCTGGTACATGAAGCCTGTGGGGTGTTAGCAGTTCCCACCTCCTGGAATTGTGGTTTCTGAAGTGGAAGCAACAGGAACTATGAGAATTCCACTGGGACAGCCTCAGTCAGGGGATGGTAGAGGAATTGACAAGGCACCAGATGTTGCTGCTGCCCATGATGAATGGGCGAGCAGAAATGAGGGGCCACTGGGCCGTGCCAGGAACCAGCATGCTCCAGTTCAGTTCCGGGGAACCAGGGATGGATGGCCTTGGGCCAGGGCAGGCAGAAGTGTCTACTTCCCAAGACTGTCTAGAGGCTTAAGAGGATAAAAGG